CGCGATTATTGCAATTTTCAGGAATTTTTGCAATTTTCTGGAATTTTTGCAATTTCCAGGAATTTTTGTGATTTTTGCAATTTTCAGGAATTTTTGCAATTTTCAGGAATTTTTGCGATTTTTGCAATTTTCAGGAATTTATGCAATTTTCGCAATTTTCAGGAATTTTCGCAATTTTTGCAATTTTCAGGAATTTTTGCAATGTTTGCAATTTTCTGGAATTTTTGCAATTTTCAGGAATTTTTGCGATTTTTGCAATTTTCAGGAATTTATGCAATTTTTGCAATTTTCAGGAATTTTTGCAATTTTTGCAATTTTCAGGAATTCTTTCAATTTTCAGGAATTTTTGCTATCTGCAATTTTCAGGAATTCTTGCGAGTTTTGCAATTTTCAGGAATTTTGGCTATTTTCTATAGCAATTTTTGCAATTTTTAGGAATATTTCCAATTTTTCCAATTTTCAGGAATTTTTGCAATTTTTACAATTTTTTGCAATTTTCAGGAATTCTTGAAATTTTTGCAATTTCTAGGAATTTTCTCAACAATCAGTTCACAGTGTTACACCAACAAATTCAATCCTCTTCATAAAACAAAACACGCCAAATGAATAGATATTTCACATAAACAAAGACAATGAACTTATGTCTTCACTTTCTTGCCTGTTTAGATGTGAGAAAAAAATCTAAAGTACTTTAATTATTTAATAAAAGCAAACGTGAACACCACTCCACCATTAAACAACACGAGTAGGAAAGAGACAGGTTACCGTAACCGTAAATCATGCTATCTTTGTTGCAGCTGCCCCTGACACACTTTGTGCTATACGAGAGAACGGCCGTCTCCCTTCCAGTTGTATTGAGTTCATTGCATTCGTCACACCTGATACATTATGGACGCATGCACATTTGCTCGTAGAATAGAACTCCCTGACCAAACTCAGCCTCCACAATTTTAATAATTTCATTGCGAAAAATAATCATCCAGATTCCAGAAACACGAATCCCAAATCACGTGATGGGAATGGTTCGAAAGATTCAGCAACTTCTTGTGAACTGATATTTCATTATACCAGCCTTGGTCACAGAATCGGGTTCGCCACCTAGCAGAGGAAGAGTGAACCGACAATTCGTTGAAATATGACAAAAACAGTGTTCTTGACTTGCCTTGACTCTTGTATAGAGTCACCTGTAGTCCAGGTTTTTCTCTGTGCTTGGACAATGCTTCAAATCAGGGCCGGACCGGAACTGCAGTTAGAAAAAAGTTAGATAATTGATTTTGTCCTTCATCTTAATATCGAGTTATTAGTCAGTGGCATACTCCAAAAAATTTCATCAATTTTCATCGAAGAGAATGTTCTATCATTAAATATATATGGTTTTCATCCTCAATCATTATAGTATATTGCCCTACGAATTTAAATGCAGTAGGTACCTTTCAAGGACTTTGAAAATATTCAGGAAAATCTGTGAAAGAAATTGTTCTTCATCGCCTCTCACGGCGGGAGAGGTGATGAGTATTGATTTCAGTTTATTTTGGTGTCTTAATTGTTCACCTTGTAGAATTTATGGTGAGTTGTTCTGGGACACCTTACTGCGTATACTCAATGCTTGTATCAGAGTGTGTTATGGTGATGTTATCATATTCATTGAAATTTGTTACTTTACTTATCAGCATACAGGGTTTATAGAAATTACATAAAAAGTATTCGACCACAGAGATTTCTAGGAATAATAATATCAAAAAAAAGTTCATATTATGAAACGTTGCACATGTTTCTAACTCAATGCCCCATTTGGGCATATTAATAATTCTCTGAAATCTTGATCAGGGGCATGGGAAACAAATGGGGCTAGTTGCACTTTTCCTGAATTATTCTTTGTTTACGCTATTTTTGGCAGTTTGTCTAGATTACATGGAAATCTAAAAATTTTCACTCAAAAATATAGTACTTGCATGTTTATTTTCGATAACCCTAACCATTTTCCAGATAAATCGATTTTAAATATCTGCTTTTTCCCCGAATTTTCCCAAATATTTAGGATTGATGGAAAATACCCCTTCTATTAGTATGTACTTTCGATGTTTGATCCAAAGTATGGGGGGTGCAATGAAAATAATAAATTGAAAGATAATATAGGTCCTATTGAGAAAAAGTACTACACTTCAGTTGAAAAAAAGTGACGCACTTGATATTTCTTAAAAAAAACAAACAAAAAACAGTAGGCCGATTTTAATTTTTTTCTATTTGTTGGTAGGTAATAATGCATTTGTCTTTGAAAAGAAATGAAGAGGTGAAATTTTTTTAAAAGCCTCCTTGATGGTGGTGGAATAACTCGAACCATGATTTATTCTTAATTTTTGACTCACCCCTGTGTGTTGAGTAATGGAATACAAAGTGCTTATACCCTATACGAAAGAGGCTTCTTTTGCGAGCATTTTGTTTTTTTATTAATTGATTTATCTCTAAAATTTTCCGGATTACAGCTTTTTTGCTGATACCTTACGCTTATCCCACAAATTAAATTAATTGAAGGATCAGAGTACTCAAAATTGATTGGGTTGTACGCTGGTAGGATCACATTGTCTTTAAAAAAACAAATGCCGTTGCCATAGCAACTAATTTGTTGTATGCCTCCATATTTGACCATTTGTCGTTGTGTCATTAATTAAGTGTCTTGTTTTATTGACTATAATTACATGAAATGCCTCAAATAAATCCTGAACAAGTAGCAAGATTAGTTGCGTTCGTGAACGATGGGCGTAGTTAACGTGCAGTGGAAGTTCATGAAGCAACTGCTCGTAGAGCAATCCGCAAGTACGAACAAACAGGAAGCACCGCTCGGAGGGTCGGTTCTGGTCGCCCCCGAAAAACTTCTCCAAGAGAGGATCGATTCTCGAGATTGCGTGAGTGCTATCGAAACTGAACAAGAGTCCCATATTTTTAAGTAAAAATGATGATACTTTTAAATTTCCTTGCCAAATGGCCGAAAATTGCATGAACAAAGAAGTTGAGGGAAAAGTGCCCCTTGCCCCACCTATTTCCCACTTTTTTCATTATTTATGTCCCCAGAATGTGTGGTTCAAATATTTCTATGTAATTTCAGGACACTCTGTATACAAAGCTGAAATATGCAAATGACGTATTCCAGAAATAATTACTTTGAGAAAAAGTCAGAATGAATTTGTGTCCGAAAATTTTCCGTTTCGGAGTTACAGGGCGTTGAAATTGCTTCATTTTTCGAAATCCTTTAGCAAAAAATAAGTCTGTCGCACGGAATTTGAGAGATATAGGTACCCATGAGTCTTTTGAGGTAGGAAATCATAATTTTGTAGTAATATATGTATAAAGCGCCTAGTGGCGTATCCCGACACCTTTTTTAATAAAAGAGATACACTTTTTCTCAACAACGCTGGAAAGGGTTGTCGTTTTCGAACCTATACTTTAGCACCATGAGGGCACTGCGTGAAGTTGCTAAGAACATATCAAAAACTCAGTAAGTGGTACATCGCGTCAAAATGAGCAATGACAATAAAAACCATCAACTATCTTTTGGAAGGTTTCAACTTTTCAACAATCTGTATCTTGAAAACGAATCCTTATTCGATGAGGCATTATGCGAAAAAAAGAGTTGTTTATTTTAACGAGATCTATACCACACATCACTTAGTTTTTGGCATGTTTTCAGCATAGAGAATTGTAAAATATTTCGAAAACGATCACCTCTATGCAGTTGGAGTGCCCTACAGATGCTCATTGAAATCAATACGAAATTATGATTTTCCATCTCAGAAAAACTCAAGGTACCAGATTTCGTGCAAAGAACTCATTTCATGCGAAAGTTATTTTCAAAGAACGAAAACAAAAATCAATTTCAACAACCTGTAGGCTGT